TGGTAAAGTTGCCTTCCAAGTTTCATACTTCAGCCCAGAAATACAAAATTACCTATTTCTCTACTCTGTCAATTCAATTTGTAAAGCTTTGCTACTATGTAGAGGACAAATGGTACCTCACAATTTTTGTTTTCTTTTTCAAAGTGGAAGATTGAGAATCTTTTACTGAATTTGAAAGCCATTGTGGGTTTTTCTATAATACTTTGAATCCGTTCAGAATTCTGATTACAAATAACAAAAACGGTTTCATCAGTTCAAACATGAAAGAAAAAAAATGTGTTCAAAGGATAATTGGAGTCAGTAGCTTGTAACCTCGGCAAAAATTCAACAGGACCTCAAAAAAACCCAACAGACTACTGAAAAACCTTGAAACCAAGCAGTGCTTACTCTCTACTTTTTTTCTTCAGTTTTTTCTGCATGCCTGTATCAATTGCTCTCATTAGTCTGGCTGACCATAGCCTATCATGACTTTGCATTTATATTTCTCAACTTCAGTCACTCAGACTGAATCTCTTGGGAAGATACAATCTCACATTTTACCACACAACCCTCTCTGTACATTTGTCTATGGCCATGGGAGCAGAATCACAGAATAGAAATTGAGTATCTAAAAACCCTAAAAACCCTAGATTGAACAGATACCCAGCAATATTATTTGTACAAGGGGGTTTCGCTTTAACATATCCATTATGTGTACATCTTGTAGGTGTAGATTTCTCTTCTTTGTTCTTTGCTCTTCCTTAAAGTGGGCAGAGTGGGAATGGAGTACTTTGTTAATTGGACAATATTTAGGGGATGGTGTGTGGCTCAGTTTGTGGAGCGCTACACAGTAAGCAAAAGCATCAGGTACCAAGTTCAAATCTTCGTCTTGGATGCAAAAAAAAGTAGACAAAATTTACAGGGGAGGATAAGCAAAGTATACTGTCCATATTATCAAAAAAAACCTTTTAAGAGATAACACTCTTTTTTTTTGTCATGGGGCCTGAACTCTTCAGCTCAAGGCTAGCGTTCTACCACTTGAGCCACAGCACCACTTCTGGTTTTTTCTGCTCATATGGTACTAAGGAATCTGAACCCAGGGCCTCATGCATGCAAGGCAAACACTCTACCAATGAGCCACCTTCCCAGCCCCAAGATAAGACTCGTGTGTGTGTGTGTGTGTGTGTGTGTGTGTGTGTGTGTGCACTGGCTTGTGTGTGCGTGTGCGCTCATGCATGTGTACACACACACACACATGCACACCAGTACTGGGGCTTCAACTCAGGGCCACAAGCTCTTTCTAGGTTTCATGGCTGCTACTCTACTGTTTCAGCCATGCCTCTACTTCTAGCTTTTTCCTTATTAATTACAGAGAAGGGTCTCTTAGGTTTGTGTACCTGAGCTGATTTCAAACCACAATTCTCAGATCTTAGTCTCCTGAGTAGCTTTATAGGACTATAGACATGAGCCACCAGTGTCTACTTTGCTTACACTGTTTTTGAGATAGCACCTCAGGTTTCGCCTAGGCTGACCTGGACTACAATTCTCCTATTTTATGATTCTCACAATAGCACAAGTGTATACCACCAAGCCTAGCTATTTTCTGTTGAGATTGTAATCTCATGAATATCTTTGCCTGGGCTGGCCTGTAACTTTGATCTGCCTGATCTCAACCTCTTGAATAACCAGGATAACAGCCATGTAAGAGTATCATTGCTCCAAATTGTTGTTTTTTTTTCTTTTTTTTTTTCATGTATTTCTGGGACTTCCTGGAACCCAATCTATGTTAGGCTGGTGTTCTATTACTGAGTTCCCTTTTATTTCCCTGTTCCCTCTCATCAATTTATTATTTCACTTGCATAATTGTAAGTATTTTCACATTCTGTTTCTACCAATATGTCATAAACATGTTTGCATGACATGAAGCCTGGTACATGATTTTATATCATTACCACCACTCCCATGCACATTTAAGCTATTTTGGATTTTTAAAAATTATGATGAACATCTTTGTGTCTCAATATTTTAATCAATTAGATACTGCTGATAAACTCTTAGATAATTGCTAATTTTGAAAAATAAAAAAAATTATCAATAGCAGCTATTTCCCTAAAGAAGCCATTCTGCATGTTGCAGAATAATAGCCTGGCCACCCAAAGTGATACTGTGTCTTCAAGTGGTTTAGAAAGTAAAAGTAGATCAAACTATTTGGGGCATATTGAACAAGAACTATGAGAATACTTAATTAATTTATCTTCTGGTCTATATATAACTATTTGCAATACAAAAATGTCATGTTAAGCAGACTAAATATTTTGTGGCAATCTGCCTACATATTCTCTTACTACATGCAAGGTGCTTAAACATTCAAAATTATTTGACAGACATGGAATCCAAACAAAGGGAGTTTGTAGATCTTTACAACTAATCCCCTCTGCTGAGGAAGTCTCAAGTCAACAAAAATTATTCTTGTCAAAGAATCAAAAATGTTCAAGTCTGCCTAGCTGTGGTGATCGCTCCCTTCGACAGTAACTTGAATGTATGCAGCAGATCCTTGCCTCTGGGCCTAGTATTCATACTTTGATTCATTTGCATCTTATTGCTTCTAAGACTGACTAACCCCCACCCCTCTTCTGAGCTCTAATTTCTTTAGATCATATATTAAATTTGGAAGTATCCTTTATTAAAGTCTCATTCCACTGATTTAATGCTTTTTTTTTTTTTGTCAGTCATGGGGCCTGAACTCAGGGCCTGGGCGCTATCCCTCAGCTCTTCAGCTCAAGGCTAGCGCTCTACCACTTGAGCCACAGCGCCACTTCCGGCTTTTTTTCTTTTTGCTTATGTGGTGCTGAGGATCAAACCCAGGGCCTCATGCATGCAAGGCAAGCACTCTACCACTGAGCCACCTCCCCAGCCCTGATTTAATGCATTTTTTATTTAATCATGTGGCCTTCAGTTTTGAGTTTCTGAATGATGAATAAGTTATTTTACTTCTTTCTTATTACTCTTTTTTATGCCTTTGATTATTATCCAGAATCACCTTTCAACATTATTTGAGGAGTCTTCCTAGTTTCCAAATTTTGTGTTGCATTTGTGTGAACAAACTTCTTTTCTGTAACACGTATTTCTGATCTTATAGTGGGAAAAGTATGCCTGACATGGAATAAGAAAATGATTCAGTTGAAATAGCTCGAATAAGAGATGTATCGGTATTGCTTATATTGTTTATTTTTTAGCTTCACACTGACGAAAACTTCTAAGTCAAAAAAAGTCCAAAAAAAATTTTAATCGTAAGAGAGTCTTTTAACTACATGAATAAAATATACTGGAGAAACATTTGTTTTTTCCAGTCTCTTATCATTTTGCAGGGATGGGAGGACCATACTCATCATAGGGCGTGAGCTCAGGACCTGGGGCACTGTCCCTGAGCTTTTTTGTTTAAGGCTGGGACTCTAGCACTTGAGCTACACTTTCACTTCTGGCTTTTGGTGGTTAATTGGAGATAAGAGTCACGCGGATTTTCCTGCTCAGTCTAGCTTTAAACCACAATCCTTGGCTCTGAGCCTTTAAGGAAACTAAGATTATAGATATCAGCTATTGGTGCTGGGCTTCTTACTCTTTATTTTTTTTAATTTTTCAGAATCTTTAATAGGTTACACATTACTCTAAGCTTCCAATTTATGTTCCTCTCTTCTGTATTTTTTGAATTGTGAAAAAAGTTCATATACTCCTTTAAAGGATACTTAGGTTATACTATATGAGTTCTTTTTTTAGAACCAGCAACTTGATTAAAATAACAGTATTTTTCTACAGTTAGGAAAAGTAGACTGGGAGCTGTGCCCAGTGACTGAGTGCTTGCTTAGTATGCATGGGGCCCCGTCTTTAATCCCCTGCACCTTAGAAAGTTTGTTCTTGGCTGCCCCAATTTGCAGAGGATATAGCCCAATGGTAGAGCCATTACCTACAGATTTGAAGCCCTGGGTTGTATCACCAGCACTGGAGAAAAAAAGGAAAACGTTTATTCTTTGCCAAGCATAAAGGTACAGGCCTCCTCAACACTCGGGAAACTGAAGCAGGAACATTGAGGGTTCAGGTCCAGACTGGGCTATATTAGAAGACTCTGCCTAGGAGCTGGTGAAGACACTATCATACCTTAACTTTGAAATAGATATACACCCAGATATATTCAAATGTATTTAGATAAATAGACAGATAAGAATCGTTGTTGGGGGAAGGTCCAGTGCCCACTGGTCTGTTTCTCCTCCCTCTTGTTTTTTCTCTTGGGCAGTTTGATCACTGATTGAGTAAGGAATGACCTATAGATTGTGGGACCTTTTTTTTTTTAATGTTTTTAAACCAAGGATGATTTCTCCTTTTCACATCTTCCCAAATGGAACTCAAAGGCCACTTCTCAAGCAGCTTTTGGCACCCTCAGCCTCAGAGTGGAATCTTTCAAATACCAGAGCCCCATGTCCAGGAAAGGGGAAAAGGAACTTTGCCAATGATAGTGACCACAGCAAAAGCAAATAATAATATTAATAATAATTAAGAGAAATAAAGGAAATAATAAAAATTTTAAAAAAAGAATCATTGTAAAATGGCATTTGAAGGGCATCCTTAATAGTAATACCAAGGTTTCAGTTTAGTTAGACTGTGTATTAGCACTTTTTTTTACATCTTTAAAGTCAAAACCCATAGTTTCACTGTGCATGTGGGTACATGCCTGTAATTCCAGTTGAGACAAGAGGATTATGAGTTTGAGGCCAGTCTGACTACAATGGAGACACTCTCAAAAAAAGAAACAAAAAGCCGTAAAACTCCTACACACTTTCTGTGGAATAATAGTGCTACTAACTTCCTGTATGTGGCCTCAAAAGCAATTGCCAGCCTGTACTTTCTGACTGTGGAGCACAAACATGTTCAGAGAATGAATTTAACTGTATGGTTTGTTTTTAGAGTTTTGAGCTATCTTGAGTATGCTATAATTTTTTATTTGTGTATTCTCACAATAATTATTTTAGGTCCACTGGCTATTCGGAGGTGATAGTTGTTGTTGGTGGCTGTGAACGAGTTGGAGGATTTAATCTCCCATATACTGAGTGCTATGATCCTGTCACAGGAGAATGGAAGTCTTTGGCTAAGCTTCCAGAATTTACTAAATCAGAGTATGCTGTTTGTGCACTAAGGAATGACATTCTTGTTTCAGGTAAATAATTATTACAACAGCTACTATTTCTGATTCTTATGCAGCCTGGATGTTTTAAATAATAGTGTCTTAAAAGAAAATGAGGGATGAGTGCATAGCTCAAGTGGTAAATTGCTTTTCTAGCATGTACAAGGTTCTGGGCTCTATTCTCAGTACCACCAAAAGAAAGAAAGAAAACAAAGAGAGAAGAGAAAAAAATAAAATGTATATATGATCATTTTAGGTGACTCAGTTTATATATAACATGGTTTAGAATGATTGACAAGGGATCTGTTAGAAAAGTCTTTAGTCATATCATATTTTAAATGCTCTCAAATGTATGTAGAATATGATTTAAAAAATTATCTTTTGAGGCACTATAAAACATGTAGACTTAAAAATATTACTTATCTCTAATTTACTCATGTTTTCTGAAAAATTTTCCCAAAGTTTATGAAATAGAATTTTCTGTAAGATTCTTAATTTAATCTTAAATCATATTTTCTGTAAAATTCTATCATATGTAGGTATGTTTGGAAATTTGTTAATTGACAAGCTAGGTTTACTGGTCTTACAGATGATTATATTACTATCAGCAGAATGAAATACTAACACACGGCTCATTTTGTACTTCATATGGTTTGTAGAGCATCTTTAGAATGACCTATTGATGGTCTTCTGACACCTTACTCATAAGCTAACAGGCTTATTCATTTGTAAACTCCTATTTTATTATTTGGAGCCTTATTGTCATTACTTCTCTTTTTAAAAATAATTGGATTGTTATTATTATTAAGGTACTATACAGAGGGGATACCATTTCATAAGCCAGGTAATGAGTACATTTCTTTCTTTTTGGACAGTGTTATCCCTTAACTTTCTCCCAGTTTAGTTGTTACTTCTCAAGATAACAGTTGGCAAACTTAGAATCTGCTGTGTAAACTATTTCTGTTAAGCTGTAAAAGGATCCTCCATTTATTGTACTGAATTCTCAAATTCTTAAAATTGGATGAATAAATCCCATGTTTTTATTACCTACACCTAGGTGGCATAGATCCCTTGTTGGTAGAGCATAGTGACATATTATTGCATATGCATTGTTTTGCATTTAAAGGTGGAAGAATCAACAGCCGTGATGTGTGGATTTATAACTCACAGTTAAATATTTGGATCAGAGTTGCCTCTCTAAATAAAGGCAGATGGCGTCACAAAATGACTGTTCTACTTGGTAAAGTAAGAGAAACCATTTTTTATTGCTATTGCTAGTACAATTCAAAATAAATAACACAGTTAAGTTCTATATTTCACTTTCCCTCTGAGTATTTTGGATTCAAAATTTCTAATCACAGTATAACACTGTATTTTTGAATGGATGGGTTGTTGTCACAGTTTGAAATTCATGGCAGTACACTTGCCAAAATATTTTGAAGAAAATGTATGCTTGACCTCAGCTAATGAATATTATTAAAATACATAAAATTTGGGTTTACAACCCAAAGGCTGTCCTTATTAATCTAAGAATCATGAACTAGTAGTTTCCACACCTTTCTGAAGTACTGTATCCTCTTTTAAATGTTAAATCTAATATTAAACCCAACATATTAAACATATAAGTATCCCTCACTTGAACCAAACAGTATCTCAGAGTTGTTGGCCTCTTCCTGCCATCACCTCCATCACATCCTCCAAGCTACTTCAAATTAATGACAGGTTAATGTGAAAGCAGTATACTATTATACATATATCTTCAGTTGCTCCCCTAGTGCAGCTTTCTAAAAGGATGCCTCTTAAGCCCTACTATGAAACCCAGAACCACCAATAAAACCCCAGAACCACCAATAAAACCCCAAAACCTCTCTCGTTGAATCAGAAATGGTTGCCTGGAATCCTTCCCACTCAGTCCCTGATCAGTCTTCCTTCACCTAGGTTCCCCCACAAAGGTTTCTTAAAACTTTTATATGAAGAAATACTCAAGCTCCTCCCAAATAGTTTAAAAGCTATTGAATTCCTAAAGATCCTGATAGAGTTTGCTGTAGTTATTGACAAGGCTAGTGACACAATGACCTTGAGATAAATATACTGGAAATAAAATATTTTTCTAAAACTAGTGATATATCTTCCTATTACATTATATATAGTTTTGGTATTTAAGATTCAAAATTGACAAGGTCAACTGGATATTCACTAGTGACATGCAAAAAAAAAAATCTGTCTTTAGAATTTTTGCCATTTTATTTTGTGTGTATTTGTGCCTGAAGTGGGGCTTGAACTCAGGACCTGGGTGCTGTCCCCTTAGCTTTTCACTTAAAAGTTGGTGCTCTACCACTTGAGCTACAACTACACTTGTAGCTTTTTTGGTAGTTAGTTAGTGAAGAAGTCTTACAGACTTTCCTGCCCAGACTGACTTCAAATCTTGATTTTCAGATTTCAGTCTTTTAAGTAGCTAGGATTACAAGTGTGAACCTGCAATGCCTGCTTTACATGACCTTTTGTAAGTTGACTTACATGGCATTGGGGGCACAGATTCACCAATAGATAATCTGTAAATAGTGTGTGAGAAATGTGTAATAGAAGTGGCATTGTCTACTGTGGAAAATTAGAGGAGCACAGAAAGGTAAATTGTATGCATATGTGAATAGTAAGTTGAAGTTTGACTTGGATCCTTAGGCATCGATAGAAAGATTCATCTCTGGTTTAGAAAACACAAGTGGAGGCTATTTGAGAAGAAGTGATGGTGGACCCTGAGGTAGAGTGGTGGCATGGCAAAAAGAAATACAAGTGAGATGCTGTAGAAGATTCAGTAGGTCTCCATAGTTATTAGAAAACCAGATCAGATCTAAAACAATATACATAATCATAGACTTAGACCTACATAGCCATATATATGTATACAGAGAGAGACAGAGAACATGATTGTAACTGGCACTGTCTATGAGAGGAAAAGAATGATGAAAAGTAAATAATAACTAAACACAATGCATAAAGATGGCATAAGGAAACTTACTGAAAGCTGTTGAACAATAGGGGATAAGTTTAGGAAAGATAGTAGTAGGGTGAATTAATCTTATTAAAATATAATATATGTATGTGTGAAATACTATAACCAAACCTTTTTATATAGTTAGTATACACTAAAAAAAGAATGACAGTAGAGTAAAATAGGTTTTCTGGACAGTAGGTTCCAGCAGATAGAGAAAAGTGAATTTGGACAGGGTGAATAAGGGAAATATGGTTGAAGTATTTTATATATGCATTATGAAAATAGAGCAGTGAAAGGTATTAAAATATAAGAAAGGAGGGGAGAGCAAGAGAAAGGTGGTAAAGTTGATAGAGGAACATTGTATGCATACATGGAAGTGTCATAATGAAACCCCATTGTCAAATAATATATACTAATAAAAATGCTAAAGAGCTGGATGCAGGTGGCTCACACCTGTAATCCTGACTATTCAAGAGGCTGAAATCTGAGAACCAAGGTTCAAAACCAGCCAAGGCAGGATAGTCTGTGAAACTCTTATCTCCAATTAATCACCAAAAGGCCAGAAGTGGGGCTGTGGCTCAAATGGTAAGTCACTATCCTTAAGCAAAAGAATTCTGGAACTGTGCCTAGGCTCTGAGTTCAAGCCCCAGGATGGGCTTTTGCCAGCTCTGGAAAAATTAGCAAGACCTTATCTCAAAAGCAAAATAGAAAAAAAAAAAAAAGGAATTGTGACATGACTCAAATGGTAGAGGGTTTGCTTGGTATGTCAAGACCGTTAATTCAATCCCAAGTATAAGAGAGAAAAGAGGAGGGAAGATAAGGAAAAATTAGATATGGTGGAAAGAGTTGATGATAAACTGTTCACTAAAAGAAATGTGTTAACCTGATGAACTTTGTTAAGTAAAAAGGTTCTAATATGTCCCATAAATGCTTAGTAGATTATTCCTCTTGTAAGCCACTTAATAACTGTCTTTTTAAATTGTCTGACCTATCATATAAAGATACTAATTTTTATTAAAAATGTTGTGAAAGCTCTTTGAGATATATATGTATTATAAAATTAGTTATGTCAGATACTTTTCTAGGTACTTTTACTAGGTACTACCTTCAAAGATTTCACAATTTAGTCATGTACCAGTGGCTCATGTCTGTAATCCTAGCTACTCAGGAGGCTGAGATGTGAGGATCGTGGCTCAAAGCCAGCTAGGCAGTAAAGCCTGTGAGACTCTTACCTTCTATTAACCACCAGAAATCTGGAAGTGTCTCAAAGTGGTAGGACATTATCCTTGAGCAGATAACATTCAGGCCCATGACGAAAGAAAGGAAGGAAGAAGGGAAGGAAGGAAAAAAGGAAAGAAAAGAAAGGAAGGAAGGAAAAAGAAAGAAAGGAAAGAAAGGAAGAAGAAAGAAAGAAAGGGAAGGAAGAAAGGAAAGAAAGAGGAGAGAGAGAAAGAAGGAAGGAAGGAAAAAAGGAAATGCAATTCTCAACAGACAATAGCACTTCCACAGGTAGGGTGAAGATTTGTTCTTAGGAATGAAAACAATTAATCTTTACCTCAGTAAGGTAAATAAATATACAGTATATTTGTGGTATTATAATTTTATTGAAGGGCGGCTATTTGGTAAAATACCAAATAAGGGATTTGATCTTTTAAAAGCTCAGAAATTTTGAGCTAAATATGTTGTAGTTACCAAGAGTTTTTAAAGGGGGTAGATCCCTTAATTTTTTAATTAGGTCAAAATTTAGAGTTTTGGTAATTAAGATTTTCATTTATTATAATTGTCAAGGGCTTTTAAAATATAGATCTTCTTAATTCTTTAAACAAGTTCAGACTTTTGATAATTAAGTTTTTTTCCATGTATTTTATATGTAGGTATATGTTGTTGGAGGCTATGATGGGCAAAACAGACTTAGCAGCGTAGAGTGTTATGACTCCTTTTCTAATCGATGGACTGAAGTTGCTCCCCTTAAGGAAGCAGTGAGCTCTCCTGCAGTGACAAGCTGTATAGGCAAATTGTTTGTGATTGGTGGAGGACCTGATGATAATACTTGTTCTGATAAGGTAAGTCATGTTCTCTTGAAGAAATTTCCAGTAGTATGTACAGAAAGAGAAAGACAATTGGTTTATTAAGTAGGTGGCAAGTCACTTAGTATGAGGGATCATTTAAATGTTATCTGGTGCCCTTTTCCTTTAGGGAAAAACAATGAATTTTCAGTTGCTAAACTCAAACTCTAATGTAGTTTTTAATAAGTTCCTGTAACAAGTATGACAACCTTTCTAAAATTTTTTACTGCTGTTATCTGTAGAATCTAAAAGTTATTCACACTCAAAATGGTTGGCAAGTGAATTAACAAAGAAAAAAGCACAATATTCAATTTTACTGCTTCCAACTGAGCCATTTTCTGCATACTTTCAAAATAGTTTTAGAACAAAGAAGGAAAAAAAGCCCTGTGTAAGGGAACTAAAAAGGGACTTCTCAAATGAAGAAATAAAAATGGCAAAGAAACACATGAGGAAATGTTCATCATCCCTGGTGGTGAAGGAAATGCAAATAAAGAATACCCTGAGATAGCACCTTACCCCAGTCAGAATGTCCCACATCCACAAATCAGCCAACGACAAATGCTGGAGGGGATGTGGAGAAAGAGGAACCCTATTACACTGCTG